GAGGGCGAGCTCCCCAGCACCCCGGCCTGCTGGGGTCTTAGGCCTGGGAGGGAGGCTGTGGCCGCGGAGCCCCGGCTCCCGCCCGGCTCGGAATAGCGCCTCCGAGCCCGGGGTGAGCGGCGCGCCGGCGACCCGTTCCTGCAGGCGCGGGGGTGGCAGGCAGCGGCTTTCCGCCCGGCCGGCCCGCGCTTAGTCTGGAGGCGATGGGGCCTCGGAGCTGCGGACAAAGGCCAGGCCGGCTGTCCCCTGAAGATGGAACAGTTTCCTGCCCAGAGTTGGGGCGGGGGCGGGTGTTAGCTGCGGACGGGACCGAGGATGCCGAACAGAGGAGGATGCCTGGGGAGGAGGCGGCGGCGAGAACGACTCCTGCTTTCCCTTTGTGTCTTCCCAGACCCAGCGAGGCAGGCCTGTTCGGCCCGGGGTGGTGTGTTTGGGGAGGGCCGAGAGACCTGTCCAGGCTGGCACCTGGGCGGGAGGGGCTCCGGCCCTGCCCAGGAGTTTTTCTGTCCGCCTTTCCGGAGCCCTGCGTGGGGAAGAGGAAGGAAGGAGTTAAATCCTCCACCCACATGGCTCCTTTATTTACCATGATGAAGGAGGGAGGCCATTAGAAGAGCGAGGGGTTATTAGGGGACACCCTGTGATGTCACCATGAGGGATCTGTAGCCTGACAGGTTTGCTGCAGCCACTGAAATGACAAAGTAAAAAAGCTGTAGCCTCCTCTGCCCCCCACGAGTCAGGGAGCTCCAAGTCTGGGGGAAGGCCCCCCGCTCCAGCTGTGCGATCTGGTCTCAATAACCGGTGGAATGTAACTCCTAGGGCTCCCATCCCCCGATCTGGGGGTTCTCATGTGCTCTGGGCTCTGAGCTGCTGGGTGCTGGGCTTTCCTGGTGAGCAGGGCAGGGGGGACGGGCCCTGGGCTTCCCCCAGCCCTCCCTGCTTAGGAGATGTGGCGTGGCTCTGCCCAGCAAAGCCTGGCGTCGTGGGGGTGGGGAAGCTGCCCCTGCTTACCCCCCAGGTGGGAGCTGACCCTCCAGAGATGCTCCCTGCTTCCTTTAGCGTCCTTGATGTGGGGGAGGGGTATCCTAAACCCCAGGAAGTGTGGTTTGCCCTCCCACTCTACCCATATCCTCCTTCTGGGCCCATAACCCTTGAGGCAGAGCAGTAGTGAAAGCAGAGGACAGACCCCATGGAGGTGGGTACTGGAGGGGGCAGCAGAAGAGTTCATTGCCTCCCTTCTCAAGGTCAGCCTGGCACAGTGAGGTGGGTGGTACCATCACCTGGCTGGCTGTATCTCCCTGTACAATGGGGATAATCGGAACTGCTTCCCCTCCCTCCCTTGCTGCTGGGTGGACCAGGTGGCTGCAAAGCCCCCCTGAGGGAGTGGTAGAAGCTCTCTTGACAGTCAGGGCCCCCACCTGGGCTGAGCCAGGGCCCCTCTCTGATGGGTGGTTGTAAGCCTGACAGGGAACAGACTTTCCAGGCACGGGGAGTGGCAGAAGCGATGTGACCTGGTGTGATGCAGCCAGGCTTTCCTGCTGCTCTCTCAACTGTGGGCATGCCGTGGTGGTCCTGAGACTTTCTGGGGTCCTTACCTCTGCCCATCCCAGCAGGACCAGGGGTGGGAGGCAGGGTCTCTGGGGTGGTGCTCTGGGCCTTGCCCTGTAAGATGAAGGGTCCAACTTTGAGTTCAGCTGTGTTGTCCTGTTCCCCAGCAAGGCGCCTGGGACCCCAAGAGCCATCACCCCCACTGACCAGCAAGGCGCCTGGGACCCCAAGAGCCATCACCCCCTTGTTTTTGTCTCCACAGTGAACATCTTTCTCACGGGGAGGCTCAGCAGCGCAGTTCCCGCCTTAGGTAAGTAAGCCACTTCTCTCCTTCCTCCCATCCTTCTGGCACTTCTCGGTTAGTGACCTCTGAGGACAGGCCTTCTGGGTCCTGGCTCCACCCTGAGGCCACCTGGCCTCTTGTCTGAAGACGGTTCCCTGTGCATCTTTTCTGTATCACAGAGGAGCTATTTGGCCTTGGGCAAGCTTAAACTTCTTTGAGCCTCAGTTTCTTCTTTTGTAAAATGGGTGATATAATAGGATCTACCTCAAACCTTGGGCTCTAGGGGTGATCTCCAGTTGCCTGGACCTGGACCTGGTCCTGGGATGCTAGAGGCAGGGGAAGTCCTGGCTTGGTAGGTGAGAGTTAGACAGGAAGGAGAGTAGGGCACAGCTGTAGATCGGCTGGGCTGCACATGAAGGGTGAGTACGGGACAAGCTGACTTCGGGAGACAGCTGAACACTATCGTCCAAAACACCGTTGGCCAACAGTACACAGACTCTAAGGAAACACAGTCAGCACCGCCCTGCCTCCTGCCTGTCCGTGTGGGTCCGTCCATCCCCTGGCCATCTTGGGGCTCTGGCCTAGTGCAGAGCACAGCAAAGACTCAGGAGCAGGAGGAGTGGCCCAGTCCCTCCGTCCTCCATTGCTGAAGGGGCTGCCAGGGGTTGGTGAATGGATAAGTCCAGGCCCCTGTGGCCCTCGGTGCCACCAGGAGAATTCTGAGAAGGGCCTCTTTTTCTATAATTGATAAACCCCAGTAAACCTCTTACTAATTCAGCCTATATACCGCCATCTTCTGCAAACCCTAAAAAAGTATTAAAAAAAACACAAGTATCGACATTAAAAACATTAGGTCAAGGTGTACTCAGGGAGAATGTGCAGTCCGCAGTCTGGAGGACCTCTGACTTTGTTGTCTGCTGTGCTGCATGGTGGGGCAAGAGGTACCTGGCATTTCTAGTTCTGCTCAGGGCCCTGCTTGCTGCAGAAACCCACAAGGCTGGCTCAGGTGTTAGGAGCCAGAGCTCTCAGGAAGAGGGGCCCCTGCTGGCTGCTGACAGACTAGGGTCTACAGAAGTTACTCTCACCAGCCCATCTTGGCCTCTGTGTCCCTGCCAATTCTCTCTGTACCTGGCTCCATGCTCTCTGCAGCCTGGCCCTCCTCTGCTGACTTAGCCCCAGTCCTGCCTGGCATCCTGGCCCCCCAGTTTCCTATCCTAACTTTCAGGAAAAGACTGACTGGCCCAGCCTGGGTCAGGTGTCTGTGGCCATAGTTGGGGAGGGGGGCAAGGGAGCATGGGGCTGTCACGTCTTACAAATGTGAGCCCCAGGCCAGCCCTCCTGCTGGTGTGGTGGGTGGGCATGTCACCCCAAACATATCTGTCACATGCATTTACTCCAGGTTTAGCAAAGTGATGCTCCAGGAACAAGGTCCACTCGTAGAGCTAGAGAGAGAAACACACCTGCTCAGGTCTTCGTGTTTAGTTGTCCTTAGCTGTCAAGACTTCAGGCCCCAGCAGGGTTGCCCAACTCCAGGGGCTGCTGTTCACACCAAGGTGTCTGTGCTTGGTGCCCTCGGCAGGCAGAGCATGTGTGGCCGTAAGTGGCAGACTGAGGCCCTAGCTCTCCTGGAGTCCAGCTCTGACTCCTCTAGCACAGCTGATCAGCTGCTGGCTGCCCAAGGTGCCCCCTCCCACCACAACTCCATTACTGCTGAGAACCTCACAGGTGTTTTACTCCTAAGCCCTGGTCCTGCACCAGGTGTGTCAGTCACTGACGGGGTCAGGTGACCCATCTCCTGCATCCCCCATCCCGCACATCTCTGGGCTCCACCACATGGCCACTGTGGCCCCAGGGGTAAACCTGGGCAGGGTCTTCATGTTCTCCACTCACCTGGCAACTTCCCCAAGTGCCGGGGAGGGGTTCCCAGCTCCCGGTGGTCGGGTTACACCGGGCCAGTTGTCCAGAGCATTGCTCGCCTCTGGAAATTGGATCCACAAGATGTGCTTCATAAGGCCTTGCTCATGTCCTCTCAGGAGTACTTGACGACTCTTGGGACAAGGAAAGGAGGACGCTGGCCTAAAAGTGCCCAGTCATCCCTCGCCTACTTGAGGAAGCCACCTTGGCCCCAAGGACCAAGGGAATCTTCTGCCAGTGAAGGCAGGCCACCTTCAGTTAAAGCCCAGACAGACCTCTCTGACTGCCCCTAAACAGCCCCCCAAACCCTCTCTCTTTGTCAGTATCTCCCGAAACACAGTCCTCCCATGTTTCCTCACTGCCTGCCCACTGTTACCCTATCATAACCCCTACCTCNGGTTGCCCAACTCCAGGGGCTGCTGTTCACACCAAGGTGTCTGTGCTTGGTGCCCTCGGCATGCAGAGCATGTGTGGCCGTAAGTGGCAGACTGAGGCCCTAGCTTTCCTGGAGTCCAGCTCTGACTCCTCTAGCACAGCTGATCAGCTGCTGGCTGCCCAAGGTGCCGGCAGAGCATGTGTGGCCGTAAGTGGCAGACTGAGGCCCTAGCTCTCCTGGAGTCCAGCTCTGACTCCTCTAGCACAGCTGATCAGCTGCTGGCTGCCCAAGGTGCCCCCTCCCACCACAACTCCATTACTGCTGAGAACCTCACAGGTGTTTTACTCCTAAGCCCTGGTCCTGCACCAGGTGTGTCAGTCACTGACGGGGTCAGGTGACCCATCTCCTGCATCCCCCATCCCGCACATCTCTGGGCTCCACCACATGGCCACTGTGGCCCCAGGGGTAAACCTGGGCAGGGTCTTCATGTTCTCCACTCACCTGGCAACTTCCCCAAGTGCCGGGGAGGGGTTCCCAGCTCCCGGTGGTCGGGTTACACCGGGCCAGTTGTCCAGAGCATTGCTCGCCTCTGGAAATTGGATCCACAAGATGTGCTTCATAAGGCCTTGCTCATGTCCTCTCAGGAGTACTTGACGACTCTTGGGACAAGGAAAGGAGGACGCTGGCCTAAAAGTGCCCAGTCATCCCTCGCCTACTTGAGGAAGCCACCTTGGCCCCAAGGACCAAGGGAATCTTCTGCCAGTGAAGGCAGGCCACCTTCAGTTAAAGCCCAGACAGACCTCTCTGACTGCCCCTAAACAGCCCCCCAAACCCTCTCTCTTTGTCAGTATCTCCCGAAACACAGTCCTCCCATGTTTCCTCACTGCCTGCCCACTGTTACCCTATCATAACCCCTACCTCCCACGGGGAATTCCTAGAGATCCCCCTGCCCCATTGGTATACCCCCCACTCCCATGTCACCTGAATGTCTGGCTAGAGACTGCTGCTTTGCTCAAATTTCCCAACCATCCCTCGGAGACAAGCAATGCCCACTGACTCCATTTTATGGATGGATAAGCTGAGGGCCAGGGCAGAACAGTGTGGCTGGCAGTGTGGGCCCTAGGACTGGATTCATGAAGCCCTTTCCCCGTCTGTGCCTAGGCACTGGGGTGGTGTACTGGGGTGAGGCCTGCTGTCACAGAGAGAGCTGGAGGCTGGCTGTCTGAGCTGGTGGCACCCTCCAGACCCACGGCCAAGCAGTGTCCAGTCAAGAGCCCCTGATGGGAGCTGCCAGCGCCCTGCACAGACCCCAGCCCCCCTCCTGCTCCATACACACTTTCTTGCCTGATGGCGGGCTCATGGCGGCAGAAACCATGGTCTCTGTGGCCCCCTTTGGAGAAAACAGTTAACCAAGTGCTGTTGTTACCCCTCATGTGGTAACTTTTGGGGTAGCCCTGGGGGGCCCTCTAGGGTGAGGCTCTTTGTGGGGATGTGTTGTCAGGGCTCTGTTGAGAGGCAGATCTGGGCTGGTAGTTGTCCAGTCAGGAGCCTCCCAACGCCTAAAAAATGGCCAGACTTAGGCCTAGGAGGGAGAAGTATTCTGACCAGGGTGGGCGAAAGACAGAAAGGTGGCAGGCGACACCTGGCATGAGGGTCTGGGTCTCCCTTGACTAGTGTAGGTGAGACACTTGGCCTCCAAGTGCCCTGACACAACAGGCAGGCCTATCTGCGTCCCCTTGGGAAGACCTCTGGGGCCGGAGTAGGGAGAGACTGGACCCTGTCCTTCCCCAGGCCCTGTCCTCGGGGCTGAGGGTACAGGTGAACAAGGCATGGTTCCCATCCTTGGATGACTCAGAGGCCTGATGCTTCAGCTTAACATGTGCTTTAGAGACTCAATGTGGGAGCAAGATGTGTCCCCAGCCTTGCTAGGCCCTCCCTATCCAGGAACCTCCCACCCAGCACCCTCTGGGAGAGATACCTCTTCTGGGTTTTGTAACCCCACACCTCCCAGGTATCCCAGGTTAGCACCCAGGGTCTCTGTGAGGTCCACATGGCTGGTGGCTTCACCTGTCAGAGGGAACCTGACTGTGGCTGGGGCACTTTGTATGTTTGGGTGTACCCCTGAGACCCCAATCCATTTGTTTCCTCCTTACCCTCTGTGGCTGGGAGCAGAGTGCATTGCTCCCATTTTCCAGGTGAGAAAACTGAGGCTCAGGGAGGCTGCCTCCCGGGGCCACGTGTGAGTACCAGGTGGTGAGGTGCTGGCTTGTACCCCGCTGACCCGGGATTGTTGAGGCTCCGATGGTGACCCCATAGTGGCCAGCTGTGCTTTAGGGCCAAGAGAAGGTGTTTTTGCTCTAGTCCTTTGATGCTCTCGTAAGTTGTTGGTGGGGGTTACCGACTCCTCGTTAGACACAGTGTCAGGTCACCTGGACCTCTACAGTCATGGCAGTCCCCATTGGAAGGGGTTCCACCTGCTGCTCATGCTTCTAGGTGCTCAGCAGGTACTTGGACTGACCAGTACTCTCAGTGATCCACATTTATTGAGCACCTACTGTGTGTTGGGCACCGTGTAGGATCCTGGGGAAACGGTGTTGGGCCAGAGCCATTATGGCCCCTGCCTTCTCGTGGGAGACTTTCATCAGGCAATCCCAGGAACAAAAGGGAAATTGCAGAGGCTGGGGAGAGTGGACAGGTAGAGGGCCCGAGCTCTGCTGGGGTAGCCTGGGGAGGGCTTCCCCAAGAAGGGACACAGAGCTGAGAGCTGACTGATGCTGAGTGGGAGTCAGTGCACGGGTCAAGAGGGTGGGGAGAGCTCCTGCCAGGGACCAGCAACAGCAAAGTCTCCCTCCCAAGCAAGGGGCTCTGGGAGGTGTGGGACCAAGGGGGTTCTGGGAGGTATGAGGCAGAAGGAGTGGGCAGGGAAGTGGCTGGGGCCACTGCAATGAATTGTGTCCTTGTCCTAAGAGCATGGGAGGTGGCCAGAGGGCTTTCCCTCTTTCTGCAGCTGCACCATTTAAGGTCCCAGAGATTCTTGCTTATAGCCAGAGAGAACGCTGCTTCCAGGGCACCAGGTCTAGCATGGGAGGTTGAGGAGGCAGTGTCCCTGGGCTTGGCAAAAGGGTCAGAACTCTGAGCCTTGGTCTCTCCATCTGTAAAATGGGCCTTGCTTTTGTCACAGTCGGTTGTGAGGATCAGATGAACCAGCATGGTGCAGGGTTGAGAGGGCAATGACGCGGCTGCGGCCAAGTGTAGGGGCCCACTGCCTGGTCCTGGGAAGGCTCGCCACTGCCACAGCCAGTCTGGAGCCTCAGGCTGGGCAGGCTCAGCTGGGAAGCAGAAGGTGGGATAATGGATTGGTTAAAGTGAGGCCCGTGGGGCAGGGTGTGGTGGGGCTCCTCACCTGCTTTCATCCCTGACGCGGCATACAGTCAGCACTCTACATGATTGGTGGCTCAGGGCCGGCAGTGAGAGGCTGAGCCCACCAGAGGGTGGGGTGAATCCTGACCCTGCCACTCACTGGCTGTGCAGCCCTGGGCAAGTCACTCTCTTCTGAGCCTTGGTCTCCTCGTCTGGTTACAACATCTATCTCCAGAGGCTTCCCACTTGTATGTATTCAGGATAAAACCCAAATTCCACACAAGGTATGCTGAGGCCCAGCCTGTGCTTCCAGCCCCATCTGGACATTGCTGCATCCCTTCAGGCCTGTTTTTCAATCTTCACTCCACCCAGGGCTTCTCCGTAGAGTCTGTCTGCTCTCACCCCCAGCCTGGGAGTTCTCCAGAGCTGGGCTTTTGCCTGTCCTATTTGGCATGCCTATCATTTGTGCTTGGTGCATAGTAGATGCTCAGTAAATACATGTTGAGTGAGCAAAGGCTGAGGTCTGCATTTGGTATGCTTCAGGGAGGGCAAAGCCGGGGACTGTAGTGGGATGGCCTGTGCAGGCCTGACAGGCCTGGGGGTGCAGAATTCCCCACTAAGCTGAGGCCCTGAGGCCACGATGTTGCACCTTGGAGTGGCTGGTTGCCAAGGGGAGTTGTTGGTGGGCTCGATCTCAGCCCTGTTGGAGGTGGGGGGACAGTACCTAGGCTCTAGCACACTTTGTAGGGTTGGGGCTACAGCTGCTTTGAGTTCAGGTGAGTCTTCTTTGACCTCCCCATACATACCTCTTCTGTGAAGTCTTGAGTTTGTAGCCTTGCCCTTGGCCATGACCACACTTGGCTGGACTTGATCTCATCCTGGGGGAGGCCTATGCTCAAGCCATGGGGGCTCACACCCCCTTTCCCCTAACCCGCTTCTCACTGAAAGGTGGAGCTGGCATTTCTCAGTCTCCTCTTGCGACAGCCGCCTGCAGCGGAAAGCTGGAGCAGCACACAGAACGGCGTGGTGTCATCTACAGCCCGGCCTGGCCCCTCAATTACCCGCCGGGCACCAACTGCAGCTGGTACATCCAGGGCGACCGTGGGGACATGATCACCATCAGGTGAGGGGGGCCTAGAGGTATCAGAGGAAATAGATGTGGGCCTACACATGCTGGGTTGAGTGAGTGTGTGTGTGTCTGAGCAGGTGTGGAGGGCACAAGCTTGGGTGTGTACGTGTGTGAGCGTGTGCATGTGTGAGAGGACACGTGACCATGTGTGAGCTGTAAGTATGTGTGTGCACATGTGAGTGCATGTGAGCAGGCGTGGGCATATGAGCATGCCCAGCTCCCTGGGTCTCTGAGGGCCTCCATGGCTGGGTGCCCTGAGACTTTTTCATGGGGCGTGGAGGCTGTCAGTCACCTCAGCCCTGCCAGGAAGGGAGTCCTGGGAACTGGTGGGCATGATCTGCTGTGGCAGAGGTGCCCTCTCTGTCCAGCAGGGGTGGCTTGAGGCCAGGCTGGCACCAAGCCCAGAGCAGGGTTTCCCCAGTGGGACTTGGGGCAGTCTCAGCAAGGGCAGGAACCAGGTAGGGGCCTGAGTGCTCAAGCTGCAGGGACCTGCAGAGGGAAATTGGGTGAAGCAACCAGATAGTGGCGCTGAGGGACTGGAACCCCTGGCCTGGAGTAGTCATGGGGACGTTTTGATTTCCAAACTACGCAGGAAATTACTGTGACTTCCGTCTGCCCTATTTCTCATAAATGCCAAAGCACAGAAGACCTCTCCACCTCAAGTTACTCCGCAGCTCCAAAGCACAGGGATGTGATGGCATGAGCAGGTTCTGTCCTGGTCTCTGTGCCTCAGTTTCCCCATGGCCACAGGGCATGGCTCTGGGCCTGGGGGTCCAGGCCCAGTGTTTCTCCCAGGTGACAGGTTGTCACCCAGCTGCAGTCTCAGCCAGCCCATGGTCATGACCTCACCCTCAGTGCCCAGGCCTGGGGATCTGTGCTGGGTCTGTCCCAGCAGACCCAGTGTGGGAGGAGTCTGGGCCTCTGTCCCAAGGGCCTCTGTCCTTCAGAGGAGAGTGTCATGGGGCTCCTGACTCCCCCTACACTTTGACTTTGGGCTGGAGGTGCTGTGTGTGCACTGAGGAGGGAGGGAAGGGAGCGGCCACAGAGCTGAACGTGACAGATGCTGTCCACAGGTGTCATGATTCTTTATGGAGCCACCCTCGGACCCCTGGGAAGGGACAGGGTGGCTGGGAGTGGAGGAGTCACGCAGTTTGGGAGGCGAGTGGGGGCGGGGCTGGCCATCCTTGCCGTGAGCTCCAGCCTGATCACTCTCTGCTGATCCTTGGCCATGGGCCCCTGCCTGCCCACCACAGCCGCGGTCCTCTCCGCCCCCGCAGCTTCCGCAACTTTGACGTGGAGGAGTCTCATCAGTGCTCCTTGGACTGGCTCCTGCTGGGCCCAGCGGCCCCGCCCCGCCAGGAGGCCTTCCGGCTGTGTGGCTCTGCCATCCCGCCCGCCTTCATCTCTGCCCGCGACCACGTCTGGATCTTCTTCCACTCAGACGCCTCCAGCTCGGGCCAGGCCCAGGGCTTCCGTCTCTCCTACATTCGAGGTGATACTGGCCGCAGGGTGGGGCAGGGACACCAGGGAGCATTCAGTGCCTGCACCTGGGCTCCCTGCAGGCTCTCCCTGACCAGCCCTGTCAATCTTAGGACATGATGGGACTGGTCATGCTGCTGCCTCAGGATGCCTCGGAACTTCTTGAGGTCACTGACCCCACGCCACAGGCTTGGCTGGGGAGGGAACTCGCCCCTTACCCCAGGCTCAGGTCAGGGTCTGAGCCTACCCTGGCATTCGAGGTGGCCACAGAGAGGCGAGGGCCCCTTCTCTTTGGTGCTGCCTTTTCCCAAGCCCTGCAGAGGCCCAGCAGGGGTGGGGGAGCCACCTGCCTGCTCCTGACTCCAGGCCCCCGTGATGGAGGGTGGCTCTGCTCTCCCCTGACTGCCTCCTGCTACTTCCTTACCCCACAGGGAAGCTGGGCCAGGTATCCTGCCAGGCGGACGAGTTCCGCTGTGACAATGGCAAGTGCCTGCCGGGACCATGGCAGTGCAACACTGTGGACGAGTGTGGGGATGGCTCGGATGAGGGCAACTGCTCTGCACCCGCCTCCGAGCCCCCAGGCAGCCTGTGCCCCGGGGGCACTTTCCCATGCAGCGGGGCACGCTCCACGCGCTGCCTGCCGGTGGAGCGGCGCTGTGACGGCACACAGGACTGCGGTGACGGCTCCGATGAGGCCGGCTGCCCTGACCTGGCGTGTGGCCGGCGGCTGGGCAGCTTCTATGGCTCCTTCGCCTCCCCAGACCTGTTTGGTGCAGCCCGCGGGCCCTCGGACCTTCACTGCACGTGGCTGGTGGACACACAGGACCCGCGGCGCGTGCTGCTGCAGCTGGAGCTGCGGCTGGGCTATGACGACTATGTGCAGGTGTACGAGGGCCTGGGCGAGCGCGGGGACCGCCTGCTGCAGACACTTTCCTACCGCAGCAACCACCGGCCTGTGAGCCTCGAGGCCGCCCAGGGCCGCCTCACCGTGGCCTACCATGCCCGTGCCCGCAGTGCTGGCCATGGCTTCAACGCCACCTACCAGGTGAAGGGCTATTGCCTCCCTTGGGAGCAGCCATGTGGGAGTAGCAGCGAGGGGGACGGGGGCGACACGGGTGACCAGGGGTGCTTCTCAGAGCCACAGCGCTGCGATGGCTGGTGGCACTGCGCCAGCGGCCGAGATGAGCAGGGCTGCCCGGCCTGCCCGCCCGACCAGTACCCCTGCGAGGGGGGCAGCGGCCTGTGCTATGCGCCTGCCGACCGCTGCAACAACCAGAAAAGCTGCCCTGATGGCGCCGACGAGAAGAACTGCTTCTCCTGCCAGCCCGGCACTTTCCACTGTGGCACCAACCTGTGCATCTTTGAGACGTGGCGCTGTGACGGCCAGGAGGACTGCCAGGATGGCAGCGACGAGCATGGCTGCCTGGCTGCGGTGCCCCGCAAGGTCATCACCGCTGCCCTCATCGGCAGCCTGGTGTGTGGCCTGCTGCTTGTCATCGCCCTGGGCTGTGCCTTCAAGCTCTACTCCCTGCGCACGCAGGAGTACAGGTGGGCGCCATACCATGGCCGGGGCCTGGGGGTGCAGTGCAGGCCTGGAGCCTCGGTCTCTTCACCTCCCTGAGGAAAGGCCTCAGGCTTGCTCTCTGTGCAGCTGTGGGTTTACAAACTGGGGCTTGGACCATCCATGTGTGGACTGCTCTTGCACATACTGGGGTCTAGCCATCTGACCATGTCTGCATGGAGGGGCAGGGTCCTCCAGTCCTTTGCTGTGTGGGTCCCCACCAGCCCTGCCATGCTGCCCTTCTGCCCACCGCTTTCAGGGCCTTCGAGACCCAGATGACGCGCCTGGAGGCTGAGTTTGTGCGGAGGGAGGCACCCCCGTCCTACGGTCAGCTCATTGCACAGGGCCTCATCCCACCCGTGGAGGACTTTCCTGTCTACAGCGCGTCCCAGGTGAGCCCCAGAAGGCATGAGACCCCACAGGCCTCAGGCTTCTGGCCGGACCTCAGAGAATGCCCGTGACAGGGAGCCAAGGGGCCAGGTGGGACAGCGTGTGGGCTGGTCTGGTTCAGGGGTCAAAGGAAGGAGAGGGGAAGTCTGGGCAGGGTGACCTGGGGGCCACGGCCAGGTGGGTGGGACAAATTGGTCCTTTAGGGTCTCGGGTCCCTTGGGGGTGTGCTGACCTCTGCCCCTGAGTGGCCTGGCTGCCCCCTCAGCCGCTGCCCCACCCTTCAGGCCTCGGTGCTACAGAACCTTCGCACAGCCATGCGGCGACAGATGCGCAGGCATGCCTCCCGCCGGGGGCCCTCCCGCCGCCGCCTCGGTCGCCTCTGGAACCGGCTCTTTCACCGGCCGCGGGCACCTCGAGGCCAGATCCCACTGCTAACTGCCGCGCGCACCTCACAGACGGTGCTGGGTGATGGGCTCCTCCAGCCTGCACCAGGGGGCATCCCGGAACTCCCGGCCCCCCTTACAGACATAGGCAGCCCCATGGAGGCTGGGGACAGGCCTCCCAGTGTCCTCAGCCATGCACCAGATGTGGGATCTTCAGTGCCACCCCTGCCTTCTGGCCTGCGAGACCCAGAGTGCAGGCCCCTGGACAAGGACCAAAAGGCCAGCAGGGACACGCTTGTGGACAGCCCAGCTCCTGCAGACCTGCCTCGGGAGCCCTGCTCAGTCCACGCCCCCCAGCCCCAGGCCCCCACTGCCAGCAGCAACCTAGGCGCCCACTCGCCAGAGCCACTGGGGGTCTGCCCCCTGCCACCCTGCTCCCCAACGTTGGAGGCCAGTGATGATGAGGCCCTGCTGGTCTGCTGACCCACCGGACACACTGGTGACTGCCACAGCCCCGCTTTGTAACCAGGGAATACACAGTCATTTCTACCCTGCCTCCGCGTCCTTTCTTTTGGAGAGGCCCCCCCAGGCAGCCCCAGTGGAGGGACTGGGCCCTCAGCCAGCTGGCTGCCTCACTTGCCCCCACCCCTGGGTGGGCAAAGCAGGTGGGGGCTGCAGGGCGGTGAACAGGGAAGAGGGTGGAGTGATGAGACCCTCTGTGGGGTCCCAATATACACAAGCACTCTGGGGTCTCACTCGAGTCTCCCCCACTCTATTCTGGGGATGCATTTCCAGAAAAGCGGGGGTCCAGGACAGGGCTCTGTTTTCTGTGGCTTCTTGCTTCATTCTCCTGGTGGTGGCACCAGCTGCCTGCCAGAGCTGTGCTGGGAGCCGCAGTGAGGACTGAACAGGGCCAGGGGGACGCTGGACCTTGTCCATGATGATTGCTCTGTTGGCAATGAGCCTTCCTCCTGTCCTTCCCAGCAGGGCCCCTGGCGGAGCTGGGCAAGGAGGCTTCTGCCCCATCCTCATGCCTGTGGTGGCAGCATGGGCCTTGCCAGGCTGTGCTCTTTGCCCTCTGGCTGAGGGGTCAATCTCCTGGGCACCATAGCAGGGCTGGGAATATGGGCACTGGGACGGGTAGAGGAAGCCCATGGGGTAGCTTGCAGGCACTGAGGTCCCCTTGATGAACTGCTCTGCTTTCTTAAGGGACAGAGGCTGAGGCACCAACTGACAGTGGCCAAATCCATCCCAGCCTATCCCAGGGCCTCAGAAACCAGGGTGAGGCTGTGGGTCCTGAAGTCATGACATTCACTTGGTGGCAATCTATGGGAAGAAAGACAATCCTGGCACAGAATCCCCAGGCACTCCTGGGTGGCTGAGCTCAGGCTGGCATTGAGGGGCCTGGGTGGTGGGCAGACTGAGTCTCTTCCCCATCCTCCATGTCCCTTTGGGGCAGGGTGGCTCTGGGCTCCACGGTACCAGCCCCAGGTGAGGGAGTGTCTGGGTCAACAGCAAAGCCCCCAATACCAAGAGCCTCCTCCAGAGCCTGCCATGGCACCTTCCTGGCCAGCGACATGTGTGCCCCTGCTGAGGTATGCCATCATTGGACGCAGTCTGTGCCCACCAGGGACTCGCCTGAGCACATGTGAACCACCAGCCCTGTTTATTTATAGGCCTTTTCAGGAAAAGCTAGCAGGGCAGTGCTACGACAGGAAACCCAGTCACATCTTCAGGGCTCCCTTACAACAGGCCTCTAAAAGTCGTATCTTTTTTTTTCCAGGAAGAAAAAAAAACTTTTGCAAAAACACCTCCTCAATAAACAACATGTAAACAGAAACAGCTGCTTCAGTCTCTACAAATGTCTCATTGTGTCTTCAAGGGCTTGTTTGTGGCCAGCAGTGGGGAGGGCTGGCAGGGGCCATTGTCGTCCTCGGGGCAGTCCTGGGGGTAAACCACGAAACACAGCTCCTGGCCCCAATGTGTCATTGATTCTGAGGACAGATGGATAGACAGATGGACCATGGGGCCTGATCCCTTGGGACAGGTGCAACCTCATCTCTGGACACCTCCCTTGGGCAGGGGTCTTCAGGGAGCTGCCCTCTCTGCAGGTGGGCTCTGGACACTTGGGCCACATCTTGGGGAGACAATAGGTGGTGGATGGGCCCCGTGTTACTACCGCAGCTGCTGGGAGACTTAGCTCTGGGGCGAGCCTCTAGGAAGGCCCCATCTCCAGACCCCAGCCACCTCAGGAAGCTGCCCGGCTCACCTGTGAGTCTGTGCACACACTTTGGTTTGCTTCTCCAGAACACTCCCAGGAAGAAAATAGGCACCCCTGTGAGGATGATGATGACGCCCACCCCACAGACCATGGGCTCTGAGATGAAGCTGAAGACCAGCAAGAACGCCCAGAAGACCAAATAGGTGATGGGGATGAGAAGGTTCACCTGGGGGAGAGCAAACCTAAGTGCTGATGGTGCAGGGCCCCCGGCTTTGGCCCCACCACCCTGGGGGTCTTAGAAGCTTTTCTCCCTTCCTGGGAGCTGGGGACTGAGGGGCCCCTTCTGGCAGCAGCCCAGTGTGCTGGAAGCCAATTCATGGGTTGGCCAGTTGGCCAAATCTTTGAGGATTTGTCAAAGTTTCAGCAGCTCTGAGCTCCACCCAGCAGTGTGTGCAGACTTGTTGCTTCACTTGGTGGAGGTCAATTATTTTGGGGTGTTTCCCATTTCAGGCACTGAGCACTTAAGGATTTATGCAAATAGGATAATATGCAAATGAGGGGCTTTTCTTTTAGCTCAGACTTCTGTTTTTGTGTGGACTCATGGAATCCTGACTCTGTTACTGGCAGCCTGTGTGACCTCGAGCAGGTTCCAGAGCCCCGTTTTCCTCATCTGTAAAGTGGGGGTATTAAGAGTGCCATCCTCATGCGGTTGTTACAAGGGGTCAATATGTCAGTGCATAGGAAGCTCTGAGCAGGGCCCAGCTTGCAGCCAAAGCTGGGATTGCCACCACTGTCATCACCTGCCCCTGGTGCCCACAACGACTGCAGGGTTGGCTCTGACAGGTTCTGGCACCTTGGCTCACCTTGATGGGCCTGTGGAGTGCCGGCCGCCTCCAGCGCAGCACGAGCAGCCCCAGGATGGTGACGCCATAGCAGAGGTAGTTGATGAAGGACACGTAGTTGATGAGCGTGTATGTGTCTCCCACGAGCATGATGACTGCTGTGGCCCCACACTGGGAGAGGACCTGGGGCTGACAGCTGGCCTCCCACCTGCCTCCTGTCATCCCTGCAGGCTGCTCTGGGCCTGCCCGCTCAGGTTGGGAGGTCAGGTGAGCCCCGGCCCCTTCCCACATCCCCTGTGGGCTGCCCGCCATGGCCAGGGGCTCATCCCTGCCATTAACCAGTAAGTCCCACATTGCTGAGTGGTCCTGACTCCATGCCCTGCCTGGCCTGGGTCCCCCAACTTACGCAGACAAGGAGGGCAGGAATAGGGGTGCAGTGTCTGACGTGGATCATGGCCAGCAGGCTGGGCAGGTGCCCCTCTCGGGCTCCAGAGAAGCACAGCCTGCGGGGTGGAGACAGAGATGGGTGGGGGCCATGAGCCCAGCCTTGGGGCCTCTCCACCAGCCAGATCTTGGACCTCAGCCCTGGACCTGATGTCCCTCTTGAGCTGTCACCTCTAACCTCCTGCTCCAGGCCGCAGCAGCCCCACTGGACAGCCCCTCTCTTCACCTAGCCCGTCTCCCTCTTGTTTTCTTTACCTCTGAGTTGGGATCAGACATTTGTCACTGGCTGCTCCAGGCCGCAGCAGCCCCACTGGACAGCCCCTCTCTTCACCTAGCCCGTCTCCCTCTTTCTTTACCTCTGAGTTGGGATCAGACATTTGTCACTGGTGGGATCATCATGCTAGCTTCAGGTGGACTCCTCCACCTGGCAGTGTTTCCCTTCCTGTCCCCCTGCACGGCTCATGCACACCAGGGCACCTGCCTTGCCTCACCACCACCACCGTCTCCCCAGTCCAGTCACCTGGAGGAGGTGAACAGGTAGCCATTGATCCCTCCGAAAGTGGAAAGTGCCACGGAGACGGGCATGACCCAAGAAAAGTAGCCCAGCAGCTTCTCCCCGAAGGTCTGAGTGGGCACAGAAGAGAAGCTGTGCGTGAGGCTGGGGTACGGGCTGGGGCAGGAGCCAGGGACTGAGCAGGGGCCCCACTCACCACGGCCACTGCGTTAGAGGACAGCAGCTCCTGGGGGGACATGGCAGTGAAGTAGGCGATGTTGGTGAAGGTGTACACGAAGGTCACCAGTGGGATAGAGATGAAGATGGCACGAGGTAGGTTCCTGGGGGCAGTCAGTGGAGCGTGTCAGCGTCTCACCCTCAGGAGGTGGGGATGGGGCCCAGCAACAGAAACAGCTTTGAGTCTCCATCTCCTGCGTCTGCTGGGGACACTGGGCTGGGGAAGGGAGGAGCACTGCTGCCCAGGACATGGGGACACTGCTGTCTGCCCCCCCTGCCCCCATTCTCCACCTGGCACAGGCCGATAGAAGGTAGGGCAGGTGGAGACGGGGCCGAATCGTATCCTGAGGAGAGGGCCTAATATCTGTACATAAAGAGAAAACTGTGCACAGCCAAAACCAGCCTGGAAAGCCCCCAAAGTGCCCTCAGAGCCCAGCCCGTAGGTCTAGGGTCTCCCTTGGGACTCTCCTTCAGTCCTGCCCTCTCAGCTACGACTGTTCACTGTTGGGGGCTCTGGCTGAGCGTCACTGGCCTCATTTGTAGGGACCACATTGTGTGCTCATGTATAATTTTTGGCCAGCAGCACATCACTGCATCTGTTTACAGCAGGACGATGATACCCAGTCTTTCTGAGGGCCAGTGAGGGGCCCTGACCACCCACAGCCATGCAGAACAGGGCCGGGCTAGGACGCAAGTGTCCCTGCTTTCTTTCCAGAGCCGTTCCCGTGGGGCAGCAGGTGTGGTCAGCGGATGACCAGTCTGAGCCACAGGTGGGAGGAGGTCTGTGCAGAGAGGCTGCCTCGCCCACCGGCAGGCCCCCACCCTTCTCAGTGCCTGGCTGGGGGCCCCACTCACTTTCGAGGGTCAACCAGTTCCTCGGTGACATAGTTGAGGAAGTTCCAGCCACTGAAGGCAAAGGAACCCTGGAGGAAGGCCAGGGCCAGGTGACCCACCGAGGGCATCATCCAGAAGGCGAAGGCATTGCTGGGCCTCAGCTCCTCGAAGTGTCCTGGGGGTCCAGAAATCAGGGGTCAGCGCTGTCTCCCCAGCCCTGCCCACACCCCCACCCCAGCCCTACCTTGGAAAATCTGGACAAAGCCCACGCCAATGATGAGCGACAGGGCCAGAAGCTTCCCTCCTGTGAAGACGTCCTGGATGCGCGTGGCCCAGCGCACACTGGAGCTGTTCACCCACGTCAGGAGCACTGGGGAGGAGAGGCAGCGCAGGGGCCTCATGCTGAGACCCCTCACAGTGGGCCGCAGCCAAGTCCAGCCCAGATGGCAGGAGACTGGCATCCCCTGCTGCAGCTGGAGTGCA